TGGTCAGACACAAATAAAGGAAAGGTGCTCTCACTTGTTTTAAACACCGTTAGAAGAGTCGAAGTTGTCGTCAACTTTCAAAAAAGCTCAAAGAAGATGCGCCACATGCAAATATTTCTAGCTGATTTTCTTCCCAGCTATTGCATGCTTGCAAATCACACATTTACGAACTTTGAGCGGTGCTGCTGTGTAAATTTCTTGTGTTTGCAGACTAGTTCACAAGTCGTGGCGTAGCTTTGTTAAAGTAGCCGTGCGACACTTTTTCGAGTAGCCACGAAATGGACTCGCCTAAGGCTCTATTGCCTCACAAATTCACTGCTGCAAATATTTTTAGAATCTGTCCAGAGGAGAGTTACGAAGATTTGTAACACGCTGCAATGGCATTCTCTCTTCTCTCATCCTGATGAAAATGCTGGAAGCTAAGCAGGCAGGAACGGCAGGAGGAAAGGAAATATGTCACGTGCATCTCGTTAATTTGAGAACTTTCTCTCTCTCTCTTTTTTTTCCCTTCTTCAATCACGCAGCTTTTCAGTGCGAATCGTGGTTTCTCGCGGCAGCTTGGGTGACGACCAAGCGCATCGTCTTCGAATAAATCAATGGGTGATGCAATGGCTGTGACGGGTTATTTTTGAGCTTGTATCCTTATTTGTCGAGAGAAGGGATAGAAATTTTCAGCTGACTTCGAGAATTGATCATCAATTCCAGGTCACGAGCTGCGCTTTAATGCTTGGCTCAGGTTTTCTCGGGAGCCTCCACTACAGATCGGCAGCGTTTTCTGATGACGCTCAAAAGGTGTTGCAGGGCTCCTTTAATTGTAAACTGCAAGGGAAAACTCAGTGAAGTGTAGTTGCATCAGCCCTCAGCATTTCCTGAACCCAACAACATCCTTTTCAGACCTCTGAATGACGACTTCAAGGGTTAGTGTTTATACGAAAGTGGAAGAGTAGTGAGTTCGAAGATAGTCATGACAGCCAGCTTACGATACATGGGCAGAGAAGAAAGCGACAACACAAGTGCTGTCAAGGGAATGTTTCATGGAAAAAAAATATATATAGCATGGCTAGAAAAAAGATTTATAAAATTAGGGGAACCTTAAAGGGACAGTAAAGTCAAATAACAATTTACATCAGAATGGAAGTTCAATGTATGACAACATCTAAAACGACAATGTTATCAACAGCTGTGCCCTACTTACTGAGAAGTTAAGGTAAATGCAAAAGAACACAAGTGGCAGTAGGACATTCTCAAAATGATCCCGATGACACCAGACGGGCCGCTTACAATTAATCACTAGTAATCGATCTAGCTGCACTAAATAAAGAACCTTCCGTGCATCAAGAGATGCAATAAAATGCTGCTTGTTCGTTTCTGTTTGATTCATGGAAAAAATAACCGCCGGACGTTACTATGTGAAGTGGCACGAATGGTTCAAAAATTCAATTTTCACATAGTTACACTGGACATGTGGTTCCATCTAGCGAGGCACAGTTAAGCCAAAAAATGTCTGCCATGGCCTCCGAGGGCGGGCGCGCGTGCCTGCCATTTCGGAGGTTGTAGTTGTTGCAGTTATGGCTGCACACGCCCCAAACACAGCACACGCCCTAAAGATGACCAAGAGAGAAAAAACTCGCAGCTCTAGAAAAACCATTTCCTCATCATTTAAAGGGATAGAAGGGCAGCACATGCACACTCATTACAAACATTACACACTACAGAAGGCACACACATTACTGCATGTATTCCTTCAAGACCACATGGTGGGTGCATAGCAAGTTCAATAATATTTCACACACATAATTAATTGCTCATTGGTTCAAGCATGCTGTCCATAACACAGAACGCAGCCATATGTGAAAGCTTCACTGACACAAGCCACTTTCGACATTATCGATTACATTGTAGTAAACATCAATTTAAACTTCTCGAGTAATATCACACTATAAAAAGCATGCACTAAGCTATTTCTTTCAAGCTTATCATTTCAAACGGCCCTTGTTTTTCCAAGTATCCTGGTTTTTGTGCCTAGTCACCACGACCGTTTTATTCATTCCTAGTGCACAGCTGCGCTGTTGGCAATGTAGGGCAAGGTGTGAAGATGGCGCACTCTTCAGTTAATAGACATCGCTTGTGTCATCATTTCCTTCTGTGTAAGTGTTTCGTTCGTGCTGGCCGTCTTTAAAGCGGGAGTGCATTTGGCTGGTACTGCCATCCTCCTACCTTCCTACTCAGCCAGTGAATTGACCTCCGTCATCTCACGACAACCCATAGTTATTTCCATGTGCGAGGCTGCAAATCTCAAAAGCATGGATTTGAGATGTCTAGCCTCGTGACGTATATTCAGTGTTCTTGGTTTTAAGATGCATGTCTTGGAGGTTACACTTTGTCTAGCTTTTTGCATCAAAGCAGCTGAAAGCAGCAGCTGCCAGCTACAAAGCCACAAGTGACATCGATATTGCGAGCACGTGGACGATGGGAACTTCGACTCACCATTGTCCGTGGAGGAAGGTTTCCTTCCTCCTCCATGCCGTTGATTTTTGAGCCTTGTGGATTTGTGTACTTCTTGCCTTGTTCCTGACAAATCCTCATTCGGGAGTTGAACGGAACGTTGACCTGCACGTAGCGATAAAAATGGTAAGTAGAGCATCGTTGTGAACTTGCAGGCCAGGTGACGACTTCGAGTGTGTTATGACTGCTGACAAGATGGCTTACAGTCCCTTAGTGAATTCTTTGACTTATCAACATTTCCGGGCACTATCTCGAACAGTGCAGATGATGGAGCATATGACAACTTAGCTGTTTCTGACTGCATCAATCCCGAGTTCATGGCTGCTGTCGCCGGTGCAGCGGAAGTGTACCCGTGCGGTTATGATTATGCCAACGAATTTGCTGCCGCCGCTAAGCAACCTTTAGCCCTGCTGTAAAGCTTATATAGTCGTTTTGAGTCAATCAATGCTGTTGTGGCCAAAGACGTGGAATTTATTTAGTTGGAAAGCTTCTATGATATTGAGGATGACTGGAACTTGACGGCGTGCTAGAAGCAAGACAAGTTTACGGACTATTTTTATGCAAAATAAAGGGCAGTAACTTGCAGTTCACGTCTTGTTTTTATTATACTCTGAGCAAATGGTTATGTTAGCACTTCTAAGAATTTCTGAGGCCTGAAATACTTTAATTTATGCCTTAAATAATGTATGTTTTGCATTTTGAAATATCAATAATCGAACTATTTCACGATCCTCTTCGAGTCCGATGTATCAAGGATCCACTGTATTCAAAGCTGTTCCCACTTTCTTTGAATGACAAAAATCGCATTTGCACAGACCTTGTATTAATTTATTTAAAGGTTGTGCTGGTTAGTTGTGTCATGACAAATATCTCTATTTTTTATAATATGGTGTATATACTATTCAAATTTGGTTCGAAATCGATCGTCCAAGATTACTATTCGCTTCAAGTTCGCTGCGACTTTGAAGTTCGTTATTCGCACAAGAATAGAATTTATAAATCGTGCGGCCCCTGCAGCTGTGCGAGTACACTGTTCCTCCTGCTCCGAATCCGCTTTGAAACAAATGTTATTATGCTCTGAAAATAGCTCCAAATCCTAAACTTGCTGGAGCACGGCTGCTTGTAAAACACTGGCTTTAAAATCGTTGAGGCAGGAGTTGTCAAAGGCAGTTCGGTTATCATTGACCTCGCTGTATCCGAACAATGCACTTCTTTGTTGGTCCAACGTGCAAACATTGTTCCGGTGCGGTTGCAGCCTCTGAAAAGTTTATCTTTCCCACGTATGCATGTATACTACTAATGTGGTCACTGACATTCAAAAAAGTTCCTGGTAATCTTATGGAGCAACGCATGATATTTTTGGAGCTCTAAAAAGTCACACAAAACTGTTTGGCAGTTGTTGTTTTTTTGCCGCTTCTATTTCTCATTTTTACGAATCTCCCAAATCTAAAGGTTGCATGCTTGGCAGATCCACATTGCAATCCATAGAGCCTGTCAATGGATTGGACAGGTGTGGCAAATGCCAAGTGAACTTTATCATTGTTTGCTGATTGGAGTAGTCCCAAATAATACTTTTATGGATATAGCTGTGCATATTCACGATGTATGGTTTAGATAATGTTTAATGGCTTGCACATATTTCTTTTTCTTTGTACATCTTTTTGGTACTGCTCCAAATATGGTCTTTCGTGATAAAAAATTGAATGCTTTTTATCCCCATAACCTACTCCGAATTTGGATTTCAGTGCTCTAAAAGTAGCCCCGCCGCGGTGGTCTAGTGGCTAAGGTACTCGGCTGCTGACCCGCAGGTCGCGGGTTCAAATCCCGGCTGCGGCGGCTGCATTTTCGATGGAGGCGGAAATGTCGAGGCCCGTGTGCTCAGATTTGGGTGCACGTTAAAGAACCCCAGGTGGTCAAAATTTCCGGAGCCCTCCACTACGGCGTCTCTCATAATCATATGGTGGTTTTGGGACGTTAAACCCCACAAATCAATCAAATCAGTGCTCTAAAAGTAACATTTTGCTGCCCCAAAAATTGCTCCGAATTCTATTTAGACTGTTGCACCCCTGGTTTTAGGACAGGGCCTTGTGAGACTTAATGAGGCCTTGTGGTCAGGCAGAGTCTTGTTGAAGTCTCCCGTAAGGAAGTGCTGACGTTAGCCACTTGAGGCTTTTACCTCGATATGGATAGATGAATTGCAGATGAGCGGCAACTGTGATAGTGTAGGAAAACATAATATAGCTGCCTGGTACAGCAGATGCTAAGAAGGAAAACTTGAAGACATCACTTGTGGCAGAAGAGATTGCTTTAGTTGTAAAACTTGGTTTCTTGTAGCAAGATGTGGTGACAGTTTGGTTTTCTTCAACCTGTTGTAAGAGCTACCAAGTTTCAAGATTGGTGGCAGTAACACCCTCTCTATTTTTTTTGTGTGTGGTCGCTGTGTGTGTATGAAGGCCAGACCCGTGCTGCTCACGACAGGCCTTTTTCATGTGCAGGCTGCAGGAAACGGATGGCCTGATGATGACGCCCTACGAGAAGAACCTTGAGTTTTGGCGACAACTCTGGAGGGTCATCGAGCGCAGGTACGCAGCCAAAATGACGCGCGATTTCTACTAACTCCCAATGTAGTTTGACAGGCAATTTTCGTGCCGTACAGGGACAGAAAAAAAAAAAAAAGGCAGATTCCAAGTACAGTGGGAATCGATTATATGCGAAGTACAAATAAGGAATGTTGATATGTCACTTTAAAATCAACACGTTACGAGGCGAACAGTAAATTATGCCTTACATAGCTTCCATGTCATTATTACAGTCGATTCTCGATAATTCGAACTCAAAGGGGCCCGAAAATTTATTGAAATTAGAAGTTCGAAATATTGAAAGCTAAGTAAACGGAGGGCTCCCCATGCAATGGCGCATGTGCATTGAGCTAACACAGGAGGGGGAAGTTTCAGAAGACATATTTATTCACAAATCACATGACATCTATCTATAATTGAAGTAATCGGTGATGCGCGTCTGCACACGTTTGCCTTGCAGCGAGTCAATTTTGCACGCAGCTTGCAAAGCATGTCTACTTCGACTTCAGCATTCTCCTGGCAAGAGAAGTTGCGCGTGGCAATATCCAGCGCTGACATTTGAAGACGACGACAACCGCATCGCCGCTACTACCAAAAGCCGCAGCGGGGCCAGCTCGTGACAAAAAAGGAGGAGCATCTCTACGCGGAGAAAAGCAGATCGGCATTTGAGATAAACCAACACTCCACGACAGCTTTTTTTTTTTTTTGCACGCATTGTTGAAAGGAGAAAGGTTATGTGGCAGTGACGAGAAAGGGGGAAGCGTGGCACCGGCGCATGAGAGAGAACCACACTCCGGGACAACTTTTTTTTTTCTTATCTCTCTCTCTCTCTTTGCGCGTGGTGTTGGAAGGAGAAGGGTCTTTACGTGGCAGGGGCAGAAAAGGGAGAAGCGTGTGCAGGCGCGTTGCAAATCGCCATTTGTGAGAGCGCAAACATTCCACCGCGACCTTTTTTTTCCTTTTCCTTTCCCTTGCACACAGTGTTGAGGTTTCGGAGGTGCTGCCGAGGGATTGGGCATGGTGATGAGAGCATTTTCGGAGCGCGGTACGTTCGCATTAACCGACGAAAGTGTTTGTGCATTTGAATTGCGGGTGTTTTCGCCCATTTAAATACACATAGCTTTGACTGGACCTCATCGTGAGTTTGAATTAACCAGAAGTTTGAATTAAGCATGTTCGAATTTATGAGATTTGACTCTATCATGTTTGGACGTATCATTTACCTTCGTCGTCTATTCACGTCACATGTTACCAAATTTGGTATATGTGGAGCTAGTGAAATGGCCGCAAGCACATCATGAGCGTGGTATGTTCTCATGTTCTTACACGCGCTGTGTTGGAGATCTTTACGGCGACCTGGATGAGTAGAGACCCCCAGAACAACACTTGCACGCCAATGCACGCACGGCACGAACAGCACTTGCGAAAGGACCTCCAAAATGGCACGACAACGGTGTGGCTGCCTTGCGATCAAAGCTCAGTGCGTACCTCCCTATATGGTCGCTTGAGGAAGCGACGCACTTTTCGTACAGTCTATTTGCGGTGAGGGTTGAACACTTAGAAAGGTATACGAGCTCTCCGTAATGCCTGCCAAAATAGCCGGCACGCCAGCAGGTGTGTCCTTGAAGTCAAGTTTCCTTATTCGCTCTAAATTGGAATATGCCTCTGCAATCTGGAACCCACACCAAGCATATCTCATCGACTCACTTGAGGCAGTTCAAAACCGTGCTACTAGGTTCATTCATTCTTCGTACTCATATAATATTAGTGTATCATCCCTCAAAAAGGAATCTGCTCTTTTAAACCTTGACGTTCGCCGTCGCATTTCTAGCCTCTGCCTGTTTCAGAAAATTTTTCACAGCCCATTCCGTCATTCTTACATTGTTCCACCAGCCCGCATATCTCACCGCACTAGACATCCACTTCAAGTTGCCCGTCCACGCATTAGAACGACCACTTTTTCTATGTCCTTTTTTGTACGGACTGCAAACGACTGGAATGATCTTCCCCACGACGTCGTGGCCATTTCCTGTCCATCAACATTTTTCGACCAACTGTCTGCACGTCTTTCGCAATGAAAACCCGTGTCAATAAAAAAAAAAATAACAGAACTTTATTTGTTAACCCACCCCTTATGTAATACTACCTCGGGGGTCTTTAAGGAAATAAAGTGAAGTGAAGTGAAGTTCACAGTGGCTGCTCAAGGGTCACAATGCATCCCCCCCACCACCTTGCTTTCGTTCATGATCCTCTAAGACGGGCAGCGCATTCCTCTCTGCTTGAGAAGCAATCGATGGCAGGCCTTGCAGCGGGCTGGTGTTATCGCAGGCGCCCTCCGTGCAACGAAGATAGGTTGGCTTTTTTTTTAATCTCTGCTTCAACCGCGTTTGTTCTCTCGCTCGCGTGCTTTTACCCACATGTAAAATATACGATACACTGGGGTCGGGGTGATATCGGTTTGGACATTATATAAAGCATGACTGCAATGGCAAAAACCAGTTGCGAATGTCCATATAATTGCTATCACAATAAAAGCAATATGGCTTTCATCTTTGAGTCGTCTTAGGCTTATGGTACCTGTGAGGTGTTTTTTATTTTATTTTTCGCACTGCTTTCTAGAGTATACTGAGTGTTTTGGCGGCACAGACAGAAAGTCTTAGTCATACAAAGCTTCACTGCAAAAGAAAAATGAAACTTTTACTTTTTGAATCATTTAGTGCCAGCAGAGAGAAGCCTCAAAAGATGGAAGTGCCAGAGGAGATTGGCTTTTTGGGGCTAGCTAAGTGACGTCTTGTTATGTCAGCAATATGATTAACAGTGTAGAAACAGAACCTCGTTTTTATTCTTGGAGTCGTCTTAGGGGAATACATTTAAGACCGTGGGAGTCTCTAGTATTGTACGTCACACCGTGTGTCTACCATGTCTACTGATAACCATGTAGGTGTACTTATAATGTTATTTGATAAAAAACAATTTTATTGAACTGGTACAGTCAACTCCCGATGATTCGAAGTAGGTTAAATAGAAAAGTCGCTTTATTGGAAGTGAAATGGAGGTCCCGTCAGTTTTGCATGCATTTCAATAGAAAGAAATGCTCATTAATTGCAAGCTAGAAGTCTGGAATTTCGGTTGATTTGAATTTTCAATAGAACTCCTGAAGGAAATTGTAATATTGTCACAATGCAGAAACAGCAGCAGTCGAATCCAGGAAACTCACTTTAATTGTATTAGAATACTGGCAAACAGATCGGGGGAGAACCTCGTCTTCTTCACTCGCTGCGCGTGTTCTTCGTTGTCCTCTTCGCGCTGCATATTCAATGTGGCATTTGCCCCCCTCCAGAGAGCAGCGTCCCGATGCTCTTGTACAAAAGACGGTGTAGTAGATGTATGGTGTAAATCAGTCCGAAAAGTAGGGCTTCATTCGCACAACATGCACGATTTCTGGTTTTTGCTGGCGAGTTGTCGAGGGGTTGTCAGGAACGACCACGTAATTAACGTCACTCAGGCGTTGTAAAACTGTGTAGGGGCTAAAATACTTCTTCAGCAATTTTTCAGACAGTCCCCGGCGGCGGATAGGACTCCATACCCAAACTTTGTCGCCGGCCCGATAGACGACATGTCGGTGTCGCAGATTATAACGTTGGGCGTCATAATTTTGCTGCTGGGTGATTCGGACGCGCGCAAGCTGCCTCGCTTCTTCTGCTCGTTGGGTAAAAGATGCAGCGTCCAAATCGATGTCATTGCAGTCGTGGCAGTAACATGGCGTCAAGCATCGTCGTCACTTCACGGCCATGAAGGAGACTGAACGGCGTTCTTCGTGTAGTTTCTTGCTGCGCTGTATTATAGGCGAACGTGATGTACGGTAGAATGTCGTCCCAGTTCTTGTGATCCACGTCAACGTACATACTCAACATGTCGGCAATAGTCTTGTTGAGGCGTTCTGTTAAGCCGTTGGTTTGTGGATGATAGGAAGTGGTTTTCCGATGGGCGGTTCCACTGAGCTCAAGCACTGTCTTCAGGAGCGCGGCCGTGAAAGCGGCACCTCGATCCGTTATTATGATTGTTGGAGCACCGTGCCTCAGGACGATATTTTCTACGAAGAATCGTGCGGTTTCAACGGCGGTGCCACTTGACAAAGCCTTTGTTTCCGCATAGCGCGTAAGATAATCAGTGGCGACTATTACCCACTTGTTGCCAGCATGGGAAGTCGGATATGGTCCAAGGAGATCCATTCCAATTTGGGCAAAAGGTACCGTGGGCACTTGAATTGGTTGTAATAGCCCAGCTGGTTTTAACGGTGGCGATTTTCGTCATTGGCAATCGAGGCACGTGCGCACGTAATGCTTCACAATAGCTGGAAGTCTTGGCCAGTAGTATTTCTGTTGGATTCTGGCCAATGTGCGTGTGTATCCAAGATGACCAGACGTTGGCTCATCGTGGCAAGCACAAAGTATCTCCTCACGAAGTGACGTCGGAACGACAAGTAGGTGGGTACTTCCTCTGGGAGAAAAGTTCTTCTTATAGAGAACACCACTACGTAAGCAGAATGACGGCAGGCTCCTTGCAAATCTTCTAGGGACGGTTGTTGTCCGGCCATTCAAAAATTCAATAAGAGGAAGCAACTCACTGTCTTCTTTCTGCTTGCACAAAATCGTAGTGGTGTCAACGACTCCTACAAACGCCACGCTGTCATCTTCTGTGTCATCGTCGCGCTTTATCGGTGACCTTGATAAGCAATCGGCGTCGGCGTGCTGCCGTCCGGACTTATACACGACCGTCATATCAAACTCTTGGAGGCGTAAGCTCCACCGTGCGAGCCGACCAGACGGGTCTTTCAAGTTGGTCAGCCAGCAGAGGGAATGATGGTCGCTGACTACGTGGAAGGAACGGCCATAGAGGTACGGACGAAACTTCATAACCGCCCATACGACAGCAAGACACTCTTTTTCCGTTGTAGAGTAGTTGGACTCGGCGCGGGAAAGCGTCCTACTAGCATATGCGAT